CCACCTCCCAGAATATTGGAAATAAAAGCAAAAATAAACAAATGGGACCTAATGAAACTTAAAAAGCTTTTGCACAACAAAGGAAACTATAAGCAAGGTGAAAAGACCACCTTCAGAGTGGGAGAAAATAATAGCAAATGAAGCAAGACAGAGGATTAATCTTAAAAATATTCAAGTAACTCCTGCAGCTCAATTTCAGAAAAATAAATGACCCAATCAAAAAATGGGCCAAAGAACTAAACAGACATGTCTCCAAAGAGGACATAAAGATGATTAAAAAAGACATGAAAAGATGCTCAACATAACTCACTATCAGAGAAACACAAATAAAAAACACAATGAGGTACCATTACACACCAGTCAGGATGGGTGCTATCCAAAAGTCTACAAGCAATAAATACTGGAGAGGGTGTAGAGAATAGGGAACCCTCTTACACTGTTGGTGGGAATGCATACTAGTATAGCCACTCTGGAGAACAGTGTGGAGATTCCTTAAACTGGAAATAGCACTGCCATATGACCCAGCAATCCAACTCCTGTGCATACACATGGAGGACACCAGATCTGAAAGAGACACGTGCACTCCAATCTTCATTGCAGCACTGTTTATCATAGCCAGGACATGGACACAACCTAGATGCCCATCAACAGACGAATGGATAAGGAAGCTATGGTACATATACACCATGGAAAATTACTCAGCCATTAAAAAGAATTTATTTGAATCAGTTCTAATGAGATGGATGTAACTGGAGCCCATTATACAGAGTGAAGTAAGGCAGAAAGATAAACCCAATACAGTATACTAGCACATGTATATGGAATTTAGAATGATAGTAATGTTAACCCTATATGCAAAACAGAAAAAGAGACACAGATGTATAGAACAGATTTTTTGGACTCTGTGGGAGAAGGCGAGGGTGGGATGTTCTGAGAGAATATCATTGAAAGAAGTATACTATCAAGGGTGAAAGAGATCATCAGCCCAGGTTGGATGCATGAGACAAGTGCTCAGGGCTAGTGCCCTGGGAAGACCCAGAGAGATGGGATGGAAAGGGAGGCGGGAGGGGGGCTCGATATGGGGAACACATGTAAATCCATGGCTGATTCATGTCAATGTATGGCAAAAACCACTAGAATAGTGTAAAGTAATTAGCCTCCAACTAATAAAAATAAATGAAAAAAAACCCCACAAAACAATCTTCTCCAAGGCCATAGTTCAAAGGGTATATATGTGTGTCATTTGTCAGTGATGTCATATTTCCCCTGTTGGGATTTAGCCACCAAAACGGAATTTAAACAATATGCAAAAATGAGGATTAACACACAGTGCCCCACCTACATACCCCTGGCAATAGGAGAGGCTCCTGTTGTATTCAAGGGAAAGGCCTGGATAGATCTCATGCAGGAATAGGCCCTGGGAGTCCTGAATGAGTCATTAAACAGGGTTGCCCTTACTTTGGCTGCCACAGGTGTTTTGTCTTCTTTGATTGGGAAGACCTTTCAAAATTAATTTTTTGTGTGTTTGCTTTGGCAGACAAAATTTTTCACGGTATAGACCCTACAGGGGAAATTATATCAGAAATATATCCATATATCTTCATCAGTGAAATTTGTTGTTTTTTTATGTCCCCAATGATTGTTCTTTATAAGTAGAAAGGAAACAAACATGTTCAGTATGCATTGAATTACATTCCTTTCTATCCCCACTGCACTCCCAAGTGTAGGCAAGAAATAAAAACCGGCAGAGACTGAAGGCTGATTCCAGCACATCGTTGTGGACATTTCCTTCCCACTGATTTTTCGGGAAAAGAAAAAAATAGTTGCTAACATTAAAATCAGTAGATTGCACATAAATATCCAAAATTCTCATTCTCTTGAAAACATGGCCAACTGGCCTGCTTTCCAGCATGGTTGAAGTGGAGGAAAGGGTGCTCCCAGGGGTCAGGGTCCAGCATGGCCACCTAATCCTACTATCATTTCTCTTGCCTCCTGGGGCCATGAGTTTGTGAGAACTAGACTGCTGGCTCTCTTAAGATAAAGACTACTTTTGTCTTGATCAACTTTGACTTTGAAGCCTTTAACCCAGAACCCAGCACACAGTTCTTCCTTGTACATTTGTTAGATGATATAATATATCTTGTGGATGCATATGACATTTTTTCCATACTGAAACGAATGCAATGGAAGTACTGCTCGGCCCTAAATCTTTGATGCAGACTGGCATCACAGGTGCCCTGATCTCTGCCATTAGACCCACTACCTAATGCCAGTTGTATGTCCCTGGGCTGTCCCTGAAATCTTCACTTTGCATTTGACAACTTATCCTCCTATCAATCTCCTCTCCAACGAAGACAGCAATGCATATCTCATGAAGTGGCTAGGAAGATGACATGAAACCATGAATGTTGAGTATGGCCCTTAGCTACCATATACATGATGTTCTTAGCAGATTTTTCTCCAAGTAGGCAAGGTTCTCCATCTCCCGAGATGTCCATGCAGATCAGTTAGATTTTCCAGCCAAGCTTCAAGGAAGAGATTACAGTTCAATTGTCTGTATTCTGAGTAGCTTCAAAGTCCACTCACCAAGGACACTGATGAGGGTAAAGATTTTATCGAAAGCTTTGTGTTTTTATCAGATCTATTAGTGGTGTAAAGGGGAAAACTAGGGTAAGTCAGAGCATATATAACTAGGGGCTCCTGGTCAGCACTACATGCTAAGAACCCGAACTTCCCTGAGTACTTGGAACCAGGAAAGGAGCATGAAGTGGCTTGTGCTCCTTGGGCTGGTGGTCTTCTCAGATTGCATAGTCAAGTATGTATGGGGACTGTAAGATGCATCATCTTCCTTTCTCGGATTTTTCTTTTCATCTGATTATTCTTCCACCCATCAGGTTTAGATGGGAATGAATATTTCCCTGACAGTCTTGAAATTCAACCCTTACTTATTGATAAATTCCTTGCTTTAGGAACTGTGGATCCCAAGGGTCTTGGTGTAGACTTGCATGGTTGCACAACTCTTGGGGTCCAGTCATGACCTATTGAAAATGCAACTCCTTACATCTGTTCAGTGAACAGTCTATGCAGATGTAGGTGTGGTCCTGTGGAATGGCACTTTTCTACATTTTATTCAACAAGTCCTCTTTGTTCCCTGTCTACTTCAGTGTGTATATGTCTATGTCTGCATCTCTGTATCACTATCATTTACCTCTCCATCTCTTTGGAGGTCTCTGTGAGTGTATTTGTCTCTGTGTTGTTTTCTTTTAATTTTTCATTTGACTCATCCTTCCTTCTTGAGCCTCTGAATTTCCCTTGCTTGTTGCCTATCTTCTGGATTCTTCTTTCAACTCCCTCTTCTCTTTCAACTTGGAGAAAGATACACTGTTTTATATACCGATTTATATCTGACATGCAGTATGACCACAGCCAACTCAGTAACCTCTTGCATTTCAAATTGCTCCCTTGTAAAATAGCATGAGAGTCCCCCTTCTACCTCCTTCCTTGTGGTTCTATGAGAAGGATACAGTGGGATGGCAACAGCAATGCTAATGGCTGTCATTGTTGAGACTTCCTATTTATCAGGTACCTTATATCCATCACTTTATTTACCCCCAAGATATTCTATTTGGAGGGGGATTTGACTGAGGGGGAGACTGAGACACCACATGGTCATATGGCTTATCCCAGATTGGAGAGCAGAACCCGTAATCAAACCTATGTCTTTGTCATGGTATATGCATAAAATTCTGATAATAATATGCCTCATATAAATGATTACAAAATACACAGGGCCATTACAACGATAGTTTTACCTGAACACTGACAGCTAACTGTAGCTTCCTTTTTGTTTTCTTTGTCAAATGCTCGGTAAAGAATACCTCTAACGAGAGTGAATATCATGAGAAAAACTCACAGTGAAAACAACATGCTGAACAATTTCCTGAAGGAACATGCTTACAGGCTCTACCTGACTTCTTCTCCTGGCTCAAACATAGCTACTCACCCCCTGAGAAATATCAACGATGTGAGTATTTTGGGAGGATGGTGCTCCATAGCGCCCTCTGGTGCTCTAGACTAGCACCAGGGCTCATCTGGAGGTGCCAGGTGAGATGTTGGGGTTGGGGTTTCTGCAGGAGACAGAAACACTGGAAAACAGGGACCCCACCCAGAGGAGAACACACTCTCACCCTCAACTGTTGGTCTTTGCGACTGGGCCTGGCAATTACCAGGTGGCAGGTAAATATCCATGTCTGTGTCAAATATGTGCCATTAATTTGACGGAGATTGTTCCCTCTGAAATAAGTGAGTCAGTCAGTTACAGATGAAGAGTGAACCATCACTGATTAAATGGTAGAACCAACGGCAAAGCAATTGTGAATTCCCAGGCAGAGGAATTCAGTTTCCACAGAAGCAAGAACCACAGCCATAAAAAGTTACTGAACCCATATTCTGTGTAAGTCCATAAGTATATAACATTGTGGTTACTGCTTTTAGATCAGAAAAAGGGCTTATTTTGTCTTCAAGAATGCTCATGCTGGCCCGAGAGATAGGCATATTAGTAAATTCATGTCAAATGAAAGGGTCACCTCTGTGGTTGATTGAATGTGGTCTGAGTTTAGAGGGAGTGGTTGAGGTTGATCAAGAAGGACCTCCTGGAGAAGGGGGTGCTAAGGCTGGGTTTGAAGAGACTACAGAGCTTCTCAAATGAAGGCACCAGGACTTCACAGGGTGTCCAATGGTCCTGGAGGTCCAGTGGTTATTCCTCTGCGCTTCCAATGCAGAGGTACCACTTCAATGCCTGGATATAGTGTCAATATCCTGCATACCATGCAGCAAAGGAAAAATATATCAAATGCAGGCATCTCTGTGACCAAAGTCAGTGAGCTGCACAGTGGTTAGGAAGTGATCTCAACAGATATGTGACATCCAGAGGGAGGCATGAATGTGGGAATAGAGGGTAGCCAGTTCTGCAGTAACCCACTCCCTCCTTTTCCCTGTAGATGGTATATGTGGGTAACATCACCATTGGAACACCCCCTCAGGAATTCCAGGTTTTGTTTGACACAGGCTCATCTGACTTGTGGGTGCCCTCCATCTTTTGCACCAGCCGATTCTGTTGTGAGTACAGACACCCCATACCTGGATCATCTTCCATTGCCCTGCCACTCTGTTTTGCACCCTTGGCACCTGATGACACTTATCTCTTGGGCCTGCAGCTTCACATGCCTTGTTCAGACATCTTGAGTCTTCCACCTTCCGGCCTACCCAAGAGACCATCAGCCTTATATATGGTTCTGGGAGGATGAAGGGAATTGTTGCTCTTGACACTGTTCGGGTAAGAGTGTAACAAATGCTGAGTCAGGACTGGCTATAGAGTGACCATTGCTTGCAAAACAGATGCAGGACCTTCTGGTAGGACCCATCCTCTCCTAACTCCCATAGATATTGGCCATCTTACCCACAGGATCCTGTCCCTGGGGAGGCAGTGCCCATGGTGACACAGGAGCACACAGTTTAGCTAACCCAGAGAGTGGCTTGAGATGGGGACTTGCAGCTTCTCTGCCCATGAGCAGTTTAAGGTTCATTTTGCTGGGAGTGAGAAGAGGAGAAAAAAGCACTCACTTTTATATTCTCAGACTGTTCCAGGCACTTTCAGGTGATCAGTGGTTTAGTCCTGCAACAACCCCACACAGCAGTTACTCTGATTAACTCATGAGATATATGAGGAAACAGAGGTGCAGACAGCAAGGACCTTGCTGAGGACACACATGTGGTAAACAGTGGAGCTCGACTGGCTTTTCAGGACTGAAGTTGCTGTGGGGTGTTAGGGGACAGGATAAAACTGATCTGGGGACCCTCGGGGCAGTCAAGGGCTTCAGGTATCCAGACGGGGAAACTGGAGGCCTGGGAAGTTAGGGGGCCTGATAAACGAGTTCCCACTCTAGGCAGCCTTTGAGAGATCAACAAAACTTATGGCCTGCCTCCCCCAAAGTACTTGAGTAGTTTCCCCCTCTCTCTTTCTATCTCATGCACACTCACACAAAGACACACATATCCCCAAAAGTGAATCCCCAGGCAGGAATTTCATAGATCACTGCAATTAAGATTGTGTTTTCAGCTTCTGTCTTCCTGGACAGATGCAGAATCCACAGTACCTTACAGAGAATGTTGTCCATCCCTGTCATTAGGTCACAGTGATGCCAAAGAGAAAGCTGCATTGCTCTTGGCTCCTTTTGTCCACAAGGGGGCACCGAGGGCCCTGGCCTGACTCTTGGTTGCCCCACCTGTACGGAAGCCACGAGGCCAGCTTGACTTACTCAGGTGGTGTCTTTCAGAGAGGCAGATGTTTTAAAATTCACAGCCTCTCACAAATCGAACCCAAATTCCCGTCTCTGCTTGGTCTAACCGCGTGAGTTCCATGGAAGACACAGCCCAGCCTCAATTCTTCTCTGAGGATCTAAGGGCAATGCACCCCAGACCAGTCCTATCCCCAGTTCATGTATCTGTAAGTGGGATCACTCTTCTCTCCCACAGATTGGGGACCTTGTAAGTACTGACCAGCGATTTGGTCTAAGCGTGGAGCAATCCGGGTTTGAGGGATGGCCTTTTGATGGCGTCTTGGGCTTGAACTACCCCAACTTATCTTTCACTGGAGGCATCCCCATCCTTGACAACCTGAAGAATCAAGGTGCCATTTCTGAGCTGGTTTTTGCCTTCTACCTGAGCAAGTAAGTCTGAGATGGAAAATCCATTTCTCCAAATTAGCTGTAATTTGCTTTCAGGTGTAGGAAATTTATAGAACACGTGATAAAGAAGTATCCTGAGAGATAATCTAATCCAAGATAACTATTCCCCCAGGGCCATTCCTGGCTTCTCCACTGGCTTTTATATATAACGTTTTATTGGAACATGACCCTGCTCCTGGGCTCAAGATCAGTAACCTGGTCTAGGGGGATGAGTGAGGAGGAAGACTAATGGAAGGCAACAGGCAACAAGTTGAAGGAAAAGGCATTAGGATTTGCTTATGCGTTTGATAAGGAAGGAGAAGGATGGTGGGTATCTTTCCTTCCTCATTAGCATTTCACTGTGAGCCCAGGACCAGCTACCCAATTTGCAGGAGCCAGTGAAAAATGAAAGTGTAGGACACAAAACAATAGTGTGGTACCCCTTGTTCAAGAAATATTAGGCATTTCAAGACAGGGAGAGCAGGGGTGGGGTCCCTTCTGACTGTGGGGCCCTTTGGACAGTAGAGGTCACAGGCCAGTGAAGCCAACTCTGGGTAACCTGATCCCTCACCCTTAGCACTCCCAGGCCTTGAGTTTCCTGAAAAAATGACAAACTGGACAAGGAGAGAGACAAAATGCTTCAGCACCTTGTCCTCTGAGGGTGTCTGAGCTCTCAGGTCACAGGAGGTCTAGGGCATCTTCAGAAGATATAGTGGGTGCAGTTCAGCCAACTGACTCAGATTCTACCCTCCTCTGTGCCACTCATTAGCCAGTAACCGACCTCAGTCTGCTTCTCAATCACTCTTAGACTTGATTTCTGCATCTGTAGTTGGGGATCTTGTTAGGGCCTTGATGGGTGGAGAAGCAAAGCTCTCATACAGCGATGTTGTTACCATCCTCCAAGGATCCCCCTGCTGTCTTCTCTCTACAGAAGCAAGCCGGAGGGCAGTGTGGTGATGTTTGGTGGGGTGGATAAATCCTACTACCAGGGAGCGCTCAACTGGGTACCATTGATCCAAGCAGGCCACTGGCGTGTCCACATGGACCGGTAAGCCTCTCCCTCTGAGGGTCAGCCCAAGGGATGCTCCCACTACTGTACATGGACACAGGCAGACACACAGAAATGCATTCTCAAATAGACACCAAAATATATACACCACCCACAATGACACAGATAGACCCACAGACACATGGAAACACAGAAGCAGACACATATAAACATACACAAAGACACATATAAACATGCAAAACTTGCATAGCTAATCAGAGACACAGAAGCACACACAGAGACACATACAAACATACAAGCACATAGATACACAAACAACCCATGGGTTCATAATCCCAAGGCCTCCTGATCAGGGCTCTGATCAGGGTCCTCACAGGGTCCAGAGAGGTCTGTGAAGCTGGGAGTGTGCTGCACCCGCTACCCTGTGAGGTGGGGAGCACAGTCAGAGGATTCTACAGTGTGGTGAACAGGATCAGGGAGGATTTCACCAGTCTGGACAGAGTTATAAGATAACCAACCATCCAGGGCTACCTGGGACCAAGGAAGTTCTCAGTACAGATAAATGTCAATTTAAAAACAGGGCAAGTCCTGAGCAAATGGGGAAAACTGGCCTTATGGAGAAGCTACCCAGCAGTGGAGAGAGGTTGGCTGCAGTCTTAAGACGTGAAAGCAACTAATAAAAAAGACACCCCACATCCCTGGGCACAGAGTGGGGCAAGGGCTAAAACTGAGAGAATCAGAAAGGTGGGATCCAGGAGTGACCTGAGGACAAGAGGCAATAACTGGAAGGATTCTGTGTGATACGCTCAGACAAAAGCTGACCTGTCCTTTGAAGCTTCTGTGGGCTAGTCATGTATATCCTGGGCAGGGTCTCAGGGTCTGAGATGGTTGTAGAAACAGTGCTGGGAGACACCCTCTTCCAGACGAGCCTCTGTCTCCCCCTTCTATGAGAATCTGCTGCCCCTGCGAATCTCCATCTTCACTCTGTGTTTGACCCATTATTTGTTTCCCACCAGATACAGCTCTCTGGATGTTTCTCAATATTTTGACAGTCTTCATTCACTCATTGAACAGACACACATTGGGCATCCTTTGTGTGCCAGGCACTTTAGGGAGGCAATGAGAATAAAACTCGCCCTCACATCTAAGAAGGCAGATGCACAGAAATGACACACCCGCTTAGTGAATTGACTTTGGTACATGCTAGACGTGAGGAAGGGTCTACAGAGAATGACCAAGAGAGGAGACCGATAAACACCGGGGAAAGTCTTCCTTGAAAACAATACAATTAAGCTGGAATCTGGAAGATGAGAAGAACATTGCTAGTCGCAGGGGAGGGGACTCTTCTAGGAAGGAAAAGCAGCTTGTGTCAAGCTACAAAAGATCCTGGTGTATTCAAGTCCTGCCTCAAGTATGTCAAGGGAGGTGCTCTGTCGAGAGCAGATGAAGAGAGTCAGGGCAAGAGACAAAGGGCTGTTTAGGAGATAGTCAGGAAGGGGGCAGCTCTGGGGAAACTCAGAGTGACATCGATTGCGCTTTGTCATACTCTCTCTTAGCATCTCCTTGAAAAGACACATTATTGCTTGTAATGGCGGTTGTGAGGCCATTGTGGACACCGGGACATCACTCATACTTGGCCCAGGAAAACTGGTCGATAACATCCTGAGGCTCATCGGCGCCACGCCACGGGGTTCTGAGGTGAAAGGTCATGCCCCAGGGTCACTCCCAGTCTCCACACACAACAAGGATCGCCAGGGCCAACCTCTCTCCCTCTCTCTCTAACAGCACTACGTTTCATGTTCTGTGGTCAATACGTTGCCCTCTATTGACTTCACCATCAATGGCATCAACTACCCACTGCCAGCTCAAGCCTACACCATGAAGGTGAGGGGACAATACTGAGGGTTGATTCTCATACTGGAGCTTGCAGGAACCCCTGGGCTGCTGCTGAGAGGAGGCTGCCATCTGCAGGCCATGTCACACCATTTCAGATGCTGCTGAGCCTTGTATCTGGGCCAGTGCCTCCCACAGAACCAATCACTTGAGAGTAAAGGGCCCTCTGGGACACTGATCATCCTGAAATAAATTGGAGATGCCACACCATGCTGGCATGGTGGGAGTCACAAGGCGAGGGGAACATTAAGGTCCTCAGTCATCAGAGAGCTTCAGTTCAATCTGAACCCTTAGGTGCATGAACATGAAAGTCAGTGCTAACAGTCCCTGAAATAGGCCATGATACAAGTAGAATGGCTGGGGACCATCCCAGTGTGATGTTCCATCATAAATTAACAGTCTCCCTTACCTTCTCAAAGTTTTCCTGCTTTGGATGATAAATTACATGGTCACCCTAGATCTCGGCTGCTTCTTCCCCTTGCTCTGGCCAGGTGCCCACTTTGTGAATTGAGGTACCTGACCCCTCTGTGGGGATATTGGATACTAAAGTGAATAAAGGGTGTACAGTGACTGCTCACCCTGGCACAAGGTGGAGGCTTCATGTCAGCTCCCTGTGGGAGAACATAGCAGGCTGATGGGCTCAAAGAAGGCTTTGAGGAAGGGAGGGAATTTCAGGAATTCTAAGACAACAAACTCATGGAGCCATATGGAGGGTTGCTTGGTTCTAGGCAACACTACACTGGATTCCATGCAAATGGCATTGCAAGGTGCTCTGCACTGGGGCACTCGGGACTTACTAGGGGTGATGAGGGCTACAGCCTGACCGGTGGGAATGGGGAACCAGAGTACGTTACCCAGTCAAGCCTGGAGTGGCCAAACAGGGTGAGTGTGGGCCAAAGGTTTCCCAGAGTTCCTGAGCTAAGTCTTCATGAACGTGTTGAGGGCACTGTTATATTTAAGATGGATAACCAACAACGAGTTACTGTGTAGCACAGGCAACTCCACTCAGTTATATGACAGCCTGGATTGGAGGGGTTTCTTTGGGACCAGGATACATAGGTACATACAATTGAGTCCATTTAGTACCATCTGAAACCCAGAATATTGCTAATCAGCTATACTCCAATAAAAATAGTTTTTAAATAAAGTTTTGATTGTGGGGATGCTGGAGGAGAACCTGCATTCCTGGTAGAGAAAACAAGGAGCAGGAGTCAGGAGAAAAGAAACAGGGAGTGAGGAGAACCAGGGGACACTCTTGTTCTTTTTTAAAAATTGTATTGAAGTGTGGCTGATCTTCAGTGTCACCTTAAGTTCTTCTGCACAGCAATGTGACTCAGTTATAGACATAGAAACATACATTCTTTTTCTTATTCTCTTTCTTGTGGTTTATCACTGGATTTTGAATATAGTTCCTTACTCTCTACAATTGGACTTTGTTGTTTATCATTCCACTGTTTCCCCAACTCCCAGTCCTCCACTCACCACATTCTTCCTCATGGCAGCCACATGTATGGGCCCTTTTTGGTTTTGGATGAACTCTCATATCCCCTGCTGCTCATAAAACCACTTGATACTTACCAAAAGAGGGAAATAAAACCAAGTATGGTGCTCAGTCTGGATACTGGGGGGAGTCGCCAATAAGCGTCAGGCTGACTGGTGTGTGTCTCTGACTTCCCCAGGATTCTACCGGCGACTGCTACATCTTCTTTAAACAGATCCCAGTGAGTAGATCTACAGAGACCTGGATCCTGGGTGACGTCTTCCTGAGGCAGTATTTCTCAGTCTTTGATCGAGGAAATGACAGGATTGGCCTGGCACAGGCAGTGTAACGCTTGGAGTGATTCAGGAATCAGCAAGGCCTCTCCTAACACACACTCACTCACACTTAGGGTACTCCTGCCCAGGATGCTGATGAACTGTATTTGGTGGTCTGCACACCCTATTCTCAGTAAAGAACAAAATGTTTCACTCGTAATGGTGCTGAAACAAATTGGTGCCTCTGTTTGTGTCTGGGAGTGATGTATCTAGAACAAAGTCTGAATCAAAATTGAGAGGAGCCCAACTCCAACTGGCTTCAGGGAAATGGGAGATTCATTGAAATGATTCTGGGAAACCAGGACACAGGAATCAGAGCAAATACAGAAATCTCAGTGACTGGACCCAAGAAAGGAGAAGTCATCAGTTCTCTCTTTCCCACCCTCGCTCTTTCCCTTTGCTCTTCTTTGGGGGTCTGAACCTGACAACTTTATTCCTTAAGGCTTCTACACCTAGTGAGGGAGTCCAAGCTACCTGCCCTAGGGTTTTATATCCCCAAGGCGTCACCTAGTAAGGAAAGAATCTCGGAGCTGTCAGAGTTCAATGGTGTTCTCTGAATGACCCACCTCAGATCATATGTAGAGCCGCAGATCAGCCGTCCTGGCAGGGTCATGGGGTCCTATGACTGGGTTTACATGGTCATTAGCCCTGACCCAGCAGCACACATGATTCTCAGTTTCCTCCAGAACTACATGACTGAAGCTGGGGAAAGGCAGCCCCAAGGATAGCGACTGGGGGATGGTCAAGACATCCACAATCACGAAGAGTTCGTGATGACCCACCAACTCCACCACTTCCTCATTTAGAGGAATTCTAAGGGGTAATGAAATCCACTGTCTTTGTCCCATCTCAGATAATATTATCACTGGGCTTCTCCTCCAGGGGAGTTTGGGTGAGGTAGTTCATGCAGAGCTGGTTCCATCTTATTCTGACACCCCAGTCACCAGCTCTCTGCCACATATGCCTGCTCTGTCCTTTCCAGTCCAACTTGGCAAGAGATGGCCCCAGTGGATTCCTGAGCCATCTCCCTCCTCCAGGGCCCATAATGTCCCTTCCTTGGTGTCCGATGCTGCTGGGGAGAATGCAACACATGTATCGGGGGACCCAGGGTACACAGAGCCTTCAGCCTTTCTGAGCTTCCTCCAGGGGTGGGGCTACAAACTCTTTGCTTGGAGCTGCCATGGTTAGGCACTTTTGCAGTGGAAGCATCCATTCTTTCCACCTGGAGGCCCTCAGCAGATGCCTCAGCTGAGACAGGAGGGGTCAGTGGTTGATTTCCTTTCAGATTGACTGGTTTGATCTCCTTGTTGTATAAGCAACTCTCAAGAATCTTCTGAATCACCACAGTTCAAAAGCTCAATTTTTTGTCTTTCACCCTTTCTTATGATCCAGATAGCACATCTACTCATGATTACTGGAAAAACCATAGCTTTAACACTACAGACCTCTGTAGCAAAGTGAGTCTCTGGTTTTTAATGCACTGTTGAGGTTTTTCATAGCCTTTCTTCCTTCCAAAGAGCAAGTGTGTTTTAATTTTGTGGTTGCTGTCAAGGTCCATAGTGATTTTGGAGCCCAAGAAAATAAAATCTACCACTGTTTCCACTTTTCCCTCATCTATATGCCTTGAAATGTTGGGACTGGATGCCATGAATGTTCAGTATTTTTTTGTGAATAGTTTTTTGAATGTTGAGTTTTAAGTCAATTTTTGCATCTCCTCTCCTCATCAAGAGGCTTTTTAGTTCTTTGCATTCTGCCATTAGGGAGGTGTCATCTTCATATTTGTGGATGTTGTTACTTGTCCCTGCAATCTTGATTCCAGCTTGGGATTTATGTAGACCAGCATATCGAATGAGGTATCCTACATAGAATTTAAATGACAAGAGTGACAATGTACACCTTGTCACACATCATTCCCAGTTTTAAATCTTTCAGTTGTTCCGTGTCTGATTCTAACTGCCACTTTTTGACCTACATGCAGACTTTTCAGGAGACAGTTAAGGTGATCTGCTACTCCCATTTCCTTAAGAATTTTCCACAGTTTTTTTGTGGTCCACACAACGAAAGGCTTTACCATAGTCAGTGAAGCAGACGGAAATGATTTTCTGGGATTTCCTTGCTTTCTCTATGATCCAATGGATGTTGGCAATGTTATCTCTCGTTCCTCAAACCAGTCTGTACATCTGGAAGTTCTCAGTTCATGTACTGTTGATGCTTAACTTGAAGGATTTTGAGCATTACCTTGCTGGCAAATGGGATGAGCGCAATTGCATGATAGATTGAACATTCTTTGAAATTGCCTTTCTTTTGGATTGGTTAAAAACTGACCTTTTCCTGCACTGTGGCCACTGCTGAGTTTTCCAAATTGCTGACATATTGAATGTAGCAGTTTTATAGCATCATTCCTTAGGATGTTTTAAATAGCTCAGCTGGAATTCTATCATCTCCACTAGCTTTGTTTGTAGTGATGCTTCCTTAGGCCCACTTGACTTCATACTCCAGTATATCTGGCTTTACAAGTGTGACCCTAGCATCATCCCTATCCCGAATTTATGACCATTTTTGTACAGTTCATCTCGGCATTCTTGCCACCTCCTCTTAATCTCATCTGCTTCTGGTAGGTCTTTGACTTTGCTGTCCTTTATTGTCCCCATTTTTGCGTGAAGTGTTCCTCTGATAGCTCCCATTTTCCTGAAGAGTTCTATACTCTCTACAATTCTATTATTTTCCTCTAATTCTTGCACTGTTCACTTACGAAGACTTTCTTATCTCTCCTTGCTTTTCTCTGAAGGTCTGCATTCCATTGAGTATATCTTTCCATTTTTCCTTTGCCTTTCACTTCTCTTATTTTCTCAACTGTTTTTAAGACCTCCTTAGGCAACCACTTTTCTATCTCATATTTGGTTTTCTTGGGGATGGTTTTGGTGACCACCTCCTATACAATGTTACAAACCTTCACCCATAGTTCTTCAGGCTACCCGACCTAATCCCTTGTATCTATTTTTCATCTCTAGTATATAAGCATAAGGATTTGATTCAGGTCACAGCTGAATTTTCTAGTGTTTTCCCTTACTTTCTTCAATTTAAGCCTGAATATTGCATGCTTCTGCCTAAGCATTGGTGCCAGATCACCACCCACCACTCCCGGTGGGTGTGGAACAAAAACACTTAAATGAGGCCTATTGCCCTGGGTTTTTGCTTGGCGATTCACATGCATAGGTGTGTGAACTTGATCATGTTCCTTAATCTCAGTTTTCTCATCCAGAAAATGGGCACCATGATGATAATTCCACCATTTGCATTGAATATGTGTCTGCTAAGAACAAGTGGTGCTGAGAGGGCTTTCTGGGTTCCTGAGTCTGGAACAAATATGAATTACCTTGCCACCCAAGAAGAATGAAATCTGTTTAGAGGTCATGGCTTCCATCCTCAAGGCTAAGTATTGATTCAAGCTAAACCATCTCAATTTCTGAACCATGAAACAGAACTCTGACTGAGTCAATGCTTCTGCTTTCTGGGCTCCAACAAGAGCTAATGATTACTGGCTCAGATTACTCCCTTACCGCCTTACCTGTCAGCCTTTCCTTGCCAACTGCTTCTAGCCTGAAATTGCACTGCATGGAGAGTTGTAAGGCTTTTGGTCTCTTATCAGTTAACCACATCTCCAGCATAGCAAGAAGTAGCTGTTATGGCTACTTGTCATAGCATCAACTATGGCAACCTGTACAGTCCAATCTCAGCCTGTTAAATGAAACTGTCCCCATTTGGCCCCTCATGTTGAAATTATCTACTGTTGCATTAGAAACCTTCCTATGCTTGCTGTTTAATGACAAAATATGTGTGGACCTCATCTAGTTTTCTTTCCCAAGCATGATTCCTACCATGCAGTGAAGTAACCAGACACTGAGTCATGTAATGATCCGCAGGAATTGGCAAAAGCAAACCACCCATCATGCATTTCTGGCTTGCCCCAAAACACCACTGAAGTGATCTGCTGCAACAATGGGATACATTGACATGTACACTCCAGAAGGGACACTTTTTATGGATTCGTTTTCCACCTAGTGCAGACTGTTTACCACATGCCTCACCCTTGAGCAGGTGGTCACCTGGTTTTTGCAGACAGCCCACTCCAGTTTCCTTCCACATCCCTCAGTGAAATCTAGAGCACAAACTCAGTCAAAGCTCTCACTCCTGCAGAAAACAGTTTTTTTTTTTTTTTTAGAAAACAATGTTTGGTCACACATTCAATATCTTGTACTCCTTGCCTTGGATTCAAGGAACTGCACCACAGAATGGGAAGCCTCCCCTTCCACCTAAATCTTTCTCCACTCCCACCAGGCCCAGAGGCTTCACTGGACCCTCTGTTCGGATTGGCATTATTCAGTTGCTAAGTCATGTCTGACTCTTTGTGATTACATGTATGGCAACAGAACGGGCTTCCCTGTCTTTCACTATTTTGTGTAGTTTCCTCAAACTCATGTCCATGGAGTCGGTGATGCCATCTCACCATCCTATCCCTTTTATCCCTCTCCTTCTGCCTACAGTTTTTCCCAGCATCAGGGTCTCTTCCAATGAGCTGGCTCTTCACATCGGATGGCCTAAGTGTTGGAGCTTCATCTTCAGCATCAGTCCTTCCACTGAATATTGCTCTACCGCTTCCAGAAAAAAACTCATGTTTCCAGTCATCTAACAAAATTGAGGATTGATAAAGTTTAATAGAACAGGGATCTTGTCATCTGGGAAAGCCCAGCATTGTTGCCCTGCCTTTCTCTTACCATTCTGTCCACCTGAAATTGAATTGCTTCCCTACAGCTTCTCCAGCTTGAAACGGCCTGCCGACCCATCATTGTCAGCTATCCAAGAATCGTTCCTGCCTCCTTCCCCAAAAACTTCTGCCTGATCCTTGATTGCCCTCTGTACATCAGTTCAATTCAGCCTCTCAGTCATGTCCAACTCGTTTCTCTATCATGGGGTGCAGCACGCATGAGTTCCCTGTCCATCATCAACTCCCACA